CTCCCAGACGCTCTGCCCGCTGCTCGCCTCCCTGCTGGCGCGGGCGGGGTCGGAGGCGGTGCAGGCCGCGGCCCTGGAGGCGCTGGGCCCCGTGGACGAGGCCGCGGCCGCCGCCGACGACCGGCTGGGCCTGTTCCGGCCGGGGCGCGGGTTCGCGGGCGTGGACGCGCGGCGCGGGGGGCTGGCCGCCGCGCGCCAGGCCCTGCACGACCAGCTGCCGGCGGTGCGCGGCGTGCTGGGCCTGCGCGCGCTGGATTACGTCGCCATCACTAACCAGAGCGACTACCTCATTGACGTCCCTGTGGAGCTGGTTGGCAGGGTGCCCAAAGGTGTGTGACAGGGGGACTCATTGGTTGGGGACAGTGTGCCCCCTTGCACAGAAGGTCCAGCCTCGTTCTTGGTGGCTCCGAGGGCGAGTATAAGGACTGTGTCTGAAGCGGAGATGCCCATCTTCACCCAACTCCCGCTCAACTCCCCTCAACATCCCCCCTCCTCCCTTGTTCAGACTGGGAGCGGGTTTCCAGCGTGAAGAAGTCGGTGCGGTACCACCCACCCGGAGTCAAGGCGGCGATTAAGGCGCTGGAGCTGGCGCAGGAGCACCTGGCGGCCGCCTGCCAGGAGGCGTGGCGCGACTGGCTGCGCGCCATCAGCGTGAACCTGCCCCTCTTCCGCTCCGCGGCCGACGCGCTGGCGGAGCTCGACTGCCTCCTGGGCCTGGCCACGTTGGCGGGGAACAGCGGGTGAGAATGGGGGTTGTGGGTGTGAAGGGAGGGGGGGAGTGCGATGCGCTTGGCGTGGGACTGCCAGCGCCTGGGGTTGGCAGACCTGGCTGGGGGCCTCCGGGATGGAAGGGCCGCCCTGCATGAGCGAGGCCCGGAGACATACCGCCACACCCACTCCTCTGCCGGGCCGCACAGAGCGGCGTCTCCCCAGCGTCCACGCATCACACTCCGCCAATGAGTCCCCCACCCCGCCTCCGCACCCCCTCTCTGCAACTCCCCCCCTCGTGCCAGGTACGTCCGCCCCGACATCCTGCCTGCCTCGCCCGAGGGCGGGCGGTTGGCCATCACAGCCTGCCGGCACCCCATGCTGGACGTCCAGCTGGGTCCGGACTTTGTGCCCAACGACGTGGCGTTGGGCTCCGGCCCCGGCGGCGAGCCCCGCGCGCTGGTGCTCACCGGCCCCAACATGGGCGGGAAGAGCTGCTACATCCGCTCCGCGGCCCTGGTGGCCATCATGGCCCAGCTGGGGTCCTTCGTCCCCGCCCAGGCCGCCAGCCTGGCGCCGTTTTGACGCCGTGTTCACGCGCATGGGCGCCTCCGACAACCTGGCCCTGGGTCGGTCCACCTTCCTGGAGGAGCTGGGGTGAGGGGCAGAGAGCTGTCGTTTTTGCTGCGGGGGGGGGGGGGGGGGGGGGGGGGGGGG